GTTGCCATTTACACAGCATGAGAGAATTCACAATCAATCAATCAATCAGCAAGCAAGGTTTGCTTTGCCCCCCAAAGTAATAAATGTCTTTGTAATCAATAAAATGCTCCATAAAAACATGAACTGCAGAATATCAGCAATCTGCAGTGAGGAAACATTGATTAGGAAAAGATGAACACAAAAAATAAGAAAAGGATATAAAACTGAGTCACGTATAAATAGACAAAGTAATAAAACAGATTAAAATGTATAAAAAATAATGATAATAAACATAGATTAGACAAATAAATAAGTAATAAGAGATAGAAAGATCCCTCACTGAGGGTCTTTGTTCTGACTTCAGGGCTGAGTCCACTAGCTGAGGCTTCGTAGGCTACATTAATGTATTTGTGTTAGCCTGAGAGAGAAATGGTCACACTCTTAGAGTGCTTGCTCATGGTGGTACTGTTGGGTCTCTGTAAATGTTAAAAGGAGTTGACCTGCTTCTATTTGAAAAGCTGTCCTGAGATAACTACTGTTATGAATTGGTGCTATACAAATAAAATTGAATTGAATTGAATTAGTTATGTCTCCACTGTGAGGTTAAAAACTAAAATCTAAATCAAAGATAAATCTAAGGTTTTTCACTTTTTGACGGGTTTATTGCCACTGCTTGCAGTTTGTCTCTGAGCTTTAGTAATTAGTAGTAATTTAGTAATTCAATTCAACAATTTTATTTGTATAGCGCCAATTCGGATAACAGAGTTTATTCTCAGGGACCTTTTTCAAATAGGAGCAGGTCTTAGGGACGCGCGAAACTCCTTTTTAAGAGATATGGGATACTAACCTGAACATCATCAGCTTTCTAAAATGTTAACGAGTTCATTATTGACATCCTTATTTATGTAAAATATTTGATACAGCAGATTATCATTTATTATGTTTTGGATCAAGATCGGTTTTTCTAAGCGTCAACCAACGTTGCGTCACAACTTATTGAGTAACTATTGATTGTTTATGTTTCTCATCACCCTGTATTATATGAGAAAGGACATGATAAAGACAGGGTGACATCAATGCGGGGGGGTGAGTGCCTCTGTACAGACTCCTCTGTGGGATTCACTGCTGTGACAGAGCCGACGGTCCAAAGCGGCGCTCCTGGAGCTTCCCTACAAGTGTTTAAACCATAAGAGAAAGTTGATGGCTGACTTTCTCAGCAGATGGATGTGGATACATTATTTAACATGATGCACAGGTCAGGACCAAAAATGTAAACAACAACAACAACAAAAGAGAGCAGAAGTAATCTGCTGGTTGGTGCTGGTTGTAATGTGATTTAAAAAGGACTGTGTAATGTAGAGCATGCGTACCTCTGATAGTACTTGATATTTGGTGTTTGACAGGTATTTTATTCTACAGTTTAATCAAACTAAATACCAATCCTTTAATTGTACTTTTCTTTACCAGAGCACAAACTACACAGACGATTATTTGCTGATAACTACTGTTAACACCATTGTGTTAGTGTTGTTTCGTGATAAAGCTTTTATTACTGAGTCTATCTGTAGGATGATCTGCAGCAGCCTCTCCTCAGCAGACAGTGGCTGAATTCCAATGAGCTGCAGTGTAAACCTGAAGTGTTTGGTTCATCGACCGTCTCGTTCTGTATGGACACAGATAGAAGACCACAGACGTTATGTTCCACTCGGTTTATTTAACAGGAAACCGATGGAGCCTAGAAGGTTTCTGACACTCTCACGTCTCGTATCAGTGCTTCGGTCAGACCTGAGCAGGAATACGCCACGGCTTGTTTTTACATATGTTGGCAGCCAGTAAACACATTTCTCTTATTATTATTTTATATCCGTCTTGACAGCGATGTTTGGTTGAGCATATTTATGGGAATAAAGTACCAAGGTGGCTTTTTTATGCCGGGTTTGGCTCCACAAGCTGTTAGCTGCACAAGCTAACTAGCTAGCAGCAGGTAACATTAATGCTAGCAATAGTTAGCTACTTTTAGCAACAAGTCCATCTGGAAACTCCATAAATCACCTTGCTACTGCTGTCGTCAAACTGTCCTCGGAGGTTGTGTTCACTGCAACTACATTAGCAGTTAGCTAGCTAGCTAACTAATGAATCTTTGCTCTGTGTGGCTAAAATTTGAAGATTGATTGACGGGTAAATGTCAGGATATTATTGGTTAGTTCATGCTGACGTAAGCATGCGTCACATTTTGTTTTACAGGAAGACAAAATTATTGGATTTTGATATAAAAATACAAATAAATAGATTTTTTTTGTAAAAAGACATTGGCATTCATTCTTTAATAGTGCCACAATATGACTGGGATTGTGATCTTAAATGGTTAAAAAGATGTTTTTCATTTTGTCTGGAAGATCTGTTGTGGCTGAACTGGAAGCTGGAATTGAGAAATATCCTTGCAAGAAATATGAATGTGTTATTTTATATGAAACTATACAATCAAACAAAGTAACATTAACATACACAAATACAACTGATAATACCAGATTTAAATTTAGGATTACGTTCAACATTGATCGGTGACCGCTTTCAATAATGGCCACCGTGTTTATATGAATCAGGAAATATCTCTACTGAACAAAGTTCAGTCTGAGCTCTGCAGAGTTTGTTATATAACTCCAGACTGTTGCATAACCAAGTTTGTACAGTGAAACTGCAGTTCTGACACAGCAGCATTTAAACTTCCTGTGTGTTAACTGTAAGGTTTGACTCTGTGGTTAAAACATGGCGGAGTGAGCTTAGCATGATGAACTCACTAAACACTAATGTGTGGTGATGCTGTTTTGTATGAAGTCCTCCACACTGCAGTTAGTTTACTCCCACATTTATTCTGTGGATGTTTGACAGTTGCTGCCACCTGCTGGTGGATCCAAACGTCACACCCTGCAGCTGAAAGGAGGAACCCACCTCCACTTCACTTCAGCCTACAGGGCAACATCTGTTTTAAACTGTCTAGTAACACCTGTTCCTGTAGGGATCTTATGAGGATCTATTGTCAGAAAGGTAATATAATATCCATAGGTATGTTTTTTTTATTAGTTTATAATCACCTGAAAATAAGAATCTTTATGTTTTTGTTACTTTAGAATGAGACGACCTTATCTACAGAGAGAGCAGGTCCTCTTTTTCTTTAATGATATTCCATTTCTGACAATAGATCTTCCTAAATGTTACACACTGGACCTCAATGAACGATTGTTGAATAAAGTTAAAATACATTCTAGATCCACATTTACGATTTGGCATTTAGCTCATTGTTTATCCGTCTGGCCCAATGTACAGTAAGTTATTACAGCTTTTGTTATTCGCTTGAACAATTTGAGGGGCGTGTCCAGAGGGAGGGTCTGGGCCACCCCTGAAATCTGATTGGCCACCCCAAGTGCCACACATTTATCTTCCACACAAACTTCATACCACCCCAGTCAAAAAAGTCTGAACATGCACATTTGCTCCTTCAGAAGTTACAAAACTGAAAGTTGCCGTCTAAAATGACTCATTTTGTTCACAAAATTCTCAAACACTCACACTAATATATTCTTTTAATCATTACATAATGGACAAAAAATAAATAAAACTACAAAAGTTAGGAATATGAGCCGGTCCAACCTTAATTTACTTTCCTGAACCATTTGTTGATACTTTACATAGTTTGTGCCAAAATATGTGCCAGCAAATTACAGCATGGTTCATTTTCTTTTCTCCAATAATGATTTTACTAGAGAAAACAAACCCTGTGTCACTGACCTGCTGCAGTACTGAGAATAAAAAGGGACATTTTCTAAGAAAGTTTTCTTTGTTTTTTTCTTGTGTGCAGCTCTTCCTAAGTCCATTAACTGTAACTTAACATGTTAAACACATTCAAACATTCACTATGGTACAAGCTTTTGCATTGCATTTATTCTTCAAAGAACCAATAGAGAATTTCACCCGAATCAGAAATACTCAGAAACAAACATTTTATTGTGCTATATGGGCCTCTTTGGTCCATGCTTGCGAATATATCAACACAAAGCAGACGTCATTTATACACAGATAATTGCTGAGGGGGCAAAGGAGTTTCAAACAGGTGTATTAAAGATTCATAATTGTGCAAGTAATTTGTATCAGCTGTGAATAGATGTTTCCCTTTTATTCAATGCAGTTAATCCAATAGAGTTTTGGGTCTTTCTATGAGATCTGTGTAGTATTCAGCAGTATATATATTATATATTAGGCAGTTTGGAATACAGCCATGGCCAGTGGAGAACACAATATGGAGTTCCAATAATAACCCAACATCTCATCATTTTACAAAACATTATTCTGATAACATATTATCTTAGCATAATCAGATATTTTCCCTCCTTGGAAAATGTATTTATATATGCACACAGATATATACAATACATATTATATGTATATTTACAAAGATATATATTGAGATATTTTTGGTTATGCTGGATTTGATGCTACAGTGACTTCCTGTTGATATAGTTGATTAGTGCTAAAGGCTAGCAAAGTTTATTTAGTTTTATAATGGTGCAGTCTGATTTAGTAACCACTCGTTACAACCTACTGAGAACTTAGGAAGGATGAAGAGCTGCTGCAGCCCAGTCCTCGCCTCTGTTCAGTAAAACTT